TGGTTGTGCAGCACCAGGCTAAAGCTCAAAGGTGACAGATCATCTGCTGCTGTGGCCCCCAGACTCTGGAACTCTCTCCCCCTGAGCCTGAGATCAGTGGACTCAGTGGTCTCCTTTAAACTCACCTGTTCAGGCTTTTGTATGACCTTCTTCACCTCTCTCTCTTTATTCTGCTCTCCCCACCTATTCCACCTTCCTCAGGATCCACTGATTTCCTTCTTTCCTGTTCTCTCTCTCTCTTTCTTAACATTTTTTAAATCACAATTGTCTATTTTTTGCTAATTTTAAATATATTTTTAAACATTTTCTAAATTCTTTTTTATATTTTTACATTTTTTGTTTTTGTGAAGCACCTCGTGATTTTTATCTTGAGAGGCGCTATAGAAATGATATTTTCTTCTTCTACTCACCAATGTGAGTGTGAACTGTGAGACTCCGGTCATGTTTCATAACGTCACGCTGCGTGACACATCTAAGCGCAATGCCGAATTTATTAACCTATATCGGGATTTAGGTTTTTTCCAGGCTAAAAATATTAATCATGACCAACACAGATCTGACCCACCCTAATTAGCTCCACCCATATTTAGCTCCAGCTCTATCTAACAAAGACAGTTTGTTCCTAATTAGGATCAATAGAATATAATGAAATTAACCAAGCAGGTTTTCTTTCCTCAGGGTTCAGACAGCCTGCGACGGATCTAGGCCCTCGAGTCGTCTCAGAAGAACTCGGAGCTGATTTTCTTTGACAGTGACTGTTTGGTCGGGATGAGATAATTCCATCAGACGAGTGCCAGCTTCTGGTCCAACAGATGCTGCCGGTCGCCTCCAGAACTCAGGGGACAAAATATACGTGCTGCCGCACCGCGCGTAACGCAATAAAGCGTCCCACCAGATGCGGGCTGTGTAACGTAATAAACACCTCGCGACTGGGATTACAAACCCTCACCTCCAGATGAGATTAGGACCAGTCGCCTCAGGCACTCAGACCCTGAAATAATAACGCGTCTGTGCCGATTAAAGCTAGGAAAAATAATAAAAACACAATGAAATGAAAATCTCATATTTTTCATTCATTCTCTTCCCTTTTATTACAAGGAAACCTTGTTAGAGTCCAGCGTGGCTGGCTCCGAGGAAAGCTGAATTATTCTCTCCGATACTGGATTCCTGGTTTTCTGTCATCTTTGTTTTCAAAAACTCCCAAATCTCATTCCGTAGAACTACTTGAGCTCAAAAGCCCAAACGACGTCTGTCTGTAGACAGTTATCGGCTCCAACTAAAAAACTCCGATCCCAGTCGGAGATCGGGACATGTGACCAACAGCTTCCTGTGGAATAGAGCCCTCCACACATCATCCAGTCACGGGTCGGTGCTCCACAGCGGTGAACAACCAGGACGTACAGCAGGAAGGCTGGAGCGCTCAGGTGAGTCCAAAGGTGAAAAGTGCACGTAAAAGAAACTAACGTTTCTACACCATACGTGTCTTCATTAGTGTTTCTGAAAACTGCCTAAAAATCACAGGATTCAGTATTAATTATCTATCAGAGTAAATAAGTGGTTTATCCTCTGATTAACAAGAGAAGTGATAAAATATTCGATCATTAATGAGACACATATTTCTGGTTAAACTGGGCTAATACTTAAAAGAGCGCCTACTCTAAAGGTTAAAGGTTTAAAAGACTAAAAGCTAAGGTCTCACTGGGCTACGACCGTTTACAAAGGCGTTTCCAAAACCTCCCCAAATGTTTCAGAGGGTTCGCAGTTATGATGTACAAGTCACCGGCCCTCGCCGACATGTTGTCGGACATTTTAAACCACGTCCGAGTCGCTGTCGGAGTTTAGAAACTTTTGTTGAGTGTTACGGCTCAGAGCCATTTGGCTTTTTCCCTGAGTGTGTATGTGTGTGTGTTTGTGTGTGAGAGAGGAGATGCAGCACCTGGCTCCAATCTCTCTAGATTGCCTCCCGGTTAGATCCTCCCAGCTGATCCTGATGACCAGCAGCATAAAAGTCAGCCAGCCCTCAGTTCAGGGAGCAGCAGGCTAGGGAGGTTCTCTCTGGTCTGTTGTCTCCTCAGCAGCTTTTGGTTTTAAGTTTTATGTAACAACTTTGAGAGCTTAACTCTCTGTGTTTAACCGTTCGCCTTTTAGGGGTAAAGGATACTTTACCCCTTCGCTTGCTTTTATAAGACATCACTCAGAAAAAGGGAAATCGTGATGGTCTTTCGTGGTTTTTGTATTAATTTGGTTAATATGAGAGTTTAGTTGTTACTCGTTTTGCGTTGCTGCTGATGTGTCTTGTTAGTCTGTGTTTTGAGTTTATATTTATGTAAATAAATGTTGTTTCTGTTGCTTTTACCACGAGAACATGCGTCCTCATTGTTACCCCAGGCCCCCTAGACAGCCTGGATCGTAACATGAGGGAAAAGTGAGAAAAACGACTGTGAGGAGTTGATGCCAATTTTCTGGTAAAATATTTTTAATGAGCTAATAATAACGTGGAAAGTATTTTAAAAACTTTCAGAGGACCTGATTACAGCAGAAACCTCCTGAAGACAAAAACTCAGAATTACACATCTATATTGCGTATATTAAGATTTTTATTATAATATTTCCTATAAATGTTCCAGTAAGGGTTGGGGTTAACTGCTCTGGACAAAGCTCCTCGGATGAGAAGAGAAACGTCTTCCAGAAACCAAGGAAGTCCGGTCGCCTTCATTTGAATTATTTGGGACCTTCAGCATTTCCGTCTCTCTCCCTGGACTCGAGAGAGAATGGGCTGTGAGATTGTTTCTTTGTGTTCAATTAGCAGACTTGGTTGAGTCTGTTAAAAAGGCAGAGCAGGCAGCTGGACACACACACACACACACACACACACACACACACACACACACACACTGAGCGATGCAGCTGGCAAAGAGCTCTTAACGGAGGCTGATCAAAGCTGTGGCAGATGGTTGTGCAGAGAGCAGCGAGCTCCGGTTGGAAACGCACAAACTGGTCGTCCTCTTCTCTCACCTCCGTCCACTAAAGCTAAGCAGCTCATTCATACCATACCGTACCATACCATAGCCTAGCATAGTTTATTTATATAGCACGTTTAAAACGCAGCATGGGAGCTGCCCAAAGTGCTGCACATGCTAAAACAGAACGCGACCATTCTAAGAAACTACAACAGAAGATAAAAATACCGGTCAAAGCAGAAAAAACATGATGCGGATGCGAAGGCGATCTTGCACCCATGACACCAGCAGGATGTTTCCATAGAGAACCTTCCTCACGCTCTAAATCAGGAATTGTGTATCATAGGTGGGCGATAAACCCAAAAAAATGACAGATATTGATATTTATAAAAATAATCCAAGTCCTTTTGTCCATGTTGGTGAATTTGGTGTTTAAAAATAAAAAATGTGTGTAGGCTGGCGATGGTCGTGTCCCTTTAAAATGTGCTACAGACGGGATGAGGTGAAGTCACGTGACCCCACCTCATCCATCCAGTCTGATAAAAACACCAACAGTGAGAACGGCCTTCTGAATTTCCGTCAGACAGATTTTGGTTCCTGGGCCTCAACATCTAGTGGCAGCTAGGACGTGACGTAGTTACTGCTGGTGGACGGCGTTATGGAACACTCACAGGCAGAAATACCAGAATCGATACGAAGAATCTCAATTAATAAAACCTAAAAGATTCTGAAATGAATAAATCAAGATGAAAGCTTTCCCCTATGCGCCAAATAAAACACTTGTAACACACAGCGCCCGCAGGCCCATTATCTATTAAACGTTAATTAGTGGAAATACCCCCCCCCACACACACAGACACACACGCACGCACACACACACACACACACACACGTAGGCACGTGCGCGCACACAAACATGCAATCAAACTAGATGTTGGATGAACAGGACCACGCTGTTATCAGATATAAATGACCCCCTCCACCAGACTAGACTGCTCAGGTTACTGAAAATCAATACTCAGCAAATTACCAACACACACACACACACACACACACACACACACACACACACACACACACACACACACACGCACACACACACATTCACACGCACACATATACACGCACGCACGCACGCACACACACACATTCACACGCACACATATACACGCACGCACGCACGCACACACACACATTCACACGCACACATATACACGCACGCACGCACGCACACACACACATTCACACGCACGCACACACACACACATTCACACGCACGCACACACACACATTCACACGCACGCACACACACACATTCACACGCACGCACGCGCGCACACACACACATTCACACGCACACACACATTCACACGCACGCACACACACACACACACGCACGCACGCATGCACACACACACACATTCACACGCACACACACACACACACATGCACATTCACACGCACACACACACACACACACACACACACACACACACACACATTCACACACACACACATTCACACGCACACATATACACGCACGCACGCACGCACGCACGCACACACACACATGCACGCACGCACACACACACATTCACACACACACATTCACACGCACGCACGCATGCGCACACACACACATTCACACGCACGCACACACACACACATTCACACACACACACACAGAGATGCGGGTTAAAACAAAAACATGATTAAGAGAGTTGTTGTGTCATTAATCAATTACTGAAGAGAAACCCCTCCTCCCTCTGTTCACACCCTTCATCCTGCTGCTCATCTTCTTCACCTCTTTAATTACAGGATGTCTGTGTCAGCCGGAGTGACAGAATATGAAATTTACAGAGCGGGTTAAAAAAAAGAGTGAGAAGACATTTTGGAAAGAAAAAAGGATGAAGGGAAAAGCAGATACGTGTGGAAGATAAACTAATAGATCTTTGAGGTATTTATAGACAGATGGATAAAGGAATGGATGAATTATGGGATGGATGATGGACAGGCGGACCGTTATCTCCTGATGTCTACCTGACATTTTCCCGTCCGAACGTCGTAGAGAGCGACTGAACCTTGCCGCGCTCCAACAGCGATCCTGTGGCTGCGGTCGCAGTAACCCACCATGTAGAACCTGAACACGACAACAAAACAACATCAAATTAGAGGACCGTGTCACGTCTAAATGACGTCTGATGATGAGAGTTGCTACTTCAGAGTCTTTGGTCTGGCTTTTCTGGCTCAGAACCAGAACAGAATCAGTAATCTGGTCAAAGGTCCTCGTAGGAGCCGTTTCTGCTTCACCTGTGGTGATGGCAGCAGGATTTGTATGGGTGTGGCCCCAGATGACACAAATGACAGAGGCGTGTTCACGGGTGCTTTTAGGGGTCTAGTTATACATGGACGGCGGGGTAAGCATACGGTTTTTACACTCAGCTGCGTGGAGGCAGAGGGGCGTGTTTACCGCTTGGCCCACCGTGGTCATGGAATCACGGAGAATCTGATTGTTAGCTTTTGTAAAACTGCTAAAGTCCTGAAAGACGAAAGAGTTTTACCTAAAAAACAAATAAAACAAGAACAAATACCGTATTTTCCAGAGTATAAGTCGCATTTTGGGGGGAAATTTTATTATTTTTCTTACAAAATCTGAGACCAAGCATTTCACATTGCAAGACAAGTACCGGTAACGATAACAGAATAAGCAACCAGCTGTTGCATCAGCGGTACGCGCAGCAGCGCGCCACGGTCTCCAGCAGAGGATGGCGGTGTTTGAAACCCTCCCAGCGGGACAGGGGAGCTCATTCCTGGACCAGAGCCGGCTCGCAGCGGCGCGGTATACATCATTTGGTATATAAGTCACTTCGGTATATAAGTCGCAGGACCAGCCAGACTAGAAAAAAAGTTCAATTCAAGTTCAATTCAATTTTATTTATAAAGCGCCAAATCATGACAAGAGTCGTCTCAAGGACCTTCACACAGTAAACATTCCAATTCAGGTCAGTTCATTAAGCCAATCAGAAATAATTGTTTCCTATATGAGGAACCCAGCTAATTGCATCAAGTCACTGACGAGTGTCAGTGACTATACAGCAATCCTCATACTAAGCAAGCATGCAGCGACAGTGGAGAGGAAAACTCCCTTTTAACAGGAAGAAACCTCCAGAGTGCAACTTATAGTCCGGAAAATACGGTATGCATGAATACACACTCTGTTAAACACGCACGCACGCACGCACGCACGCACGCACGCACGCACACACACACACACACACACACACACTTACTTGCAGATTGCAGGGAAACACTCCTGCAGACCTTTCTTCTTCACCAGAGAACCTTCGATGCAGTACATGATGATGTCCATCACCTGCGGGACAGGTTAGGGTTAGGGAAGTTGGACTTGCCAGATGGATTGTTGGTAAATATCATAACCAATATTTACCTCAACCAGAAGATCAACGACGTCTCCGGGCATCTTCTCTATCAGGATGTCGATCACTCGCAGAATCTCGGCCTTGGCTCGGGCCAGAGTGGTGGTGTGAACGTTCTGCTGTGACTGAGAGTTGGCCTGAGCTGCGTTGTAGCGATGAACCTGACAAAAAAAGATGGAAAATCCAAAGAAGAGTCAGACCCCACCTTCACAAGTAGGTGTCCTTGAGAGGGTCCGTGCGTCTCACCTCTTTGGCGATGGTGGTGATGAAGGCCGGCGGTCGGGCAGTGGCGATCAGAGAAAGAGCGTGGCGAGCAGAACGAGCTGAGTCTGCAGGGGGGTTGAGGGGCAGACCCGTGGTAATACTGTAAAGGAAGAGCAGGGGGCACTGTGAGCATCCAACTTTAATAAAACCATCCATCCACCATCATCTGATATCCAGAGTCGGATCGCGGGGGCAGCAGCCTACCCAGAGTGGCCCAGACTTCTACCCAGCCACTTGGGCCTGCTCCTCCGCCTCTTGGCCAGGACTCCCTTGAAAATGAGGTTTTTAATCTTAATGGGACCTTCCTGGTTATACGAAACGGATAAACGGAGAAGGAAGTGACGCCACCATCAGGGTCAGCCTGAGGAAGTTTGCAGCCGCAAACGAAACGTAGCGGGAAAACAGGTAACAAAACTGTTCTGTGTTTTAAAAAAAGAACTACAGCATGGAATTACAGCAAATAGGCATTTGGAAAATGGACACTTGACCCTTTAACTGTTTGTTGTTTAGCACCGAATATTTATTTCAGTGTACACTGTTGCAGTTCTTGACCTGAAGTGATCTGAACATTTTACAGGTGCTGGCCAGTAAATTAGAATATCATCAAAAGGTTGAAAATATTTCAGTAATTCCATTCAAAACGTGAAACTTGTACATTATATTCATGCAATGCACACAGACCAATGTATTTCCGATGTTCATTACATTTAAATTTGATATTCATAAGTGACAACTAATGAAAACTCCAAATTTGGTATCTCAAAAAATTAGAATATTCTGAAAAGGCTGAATATAGGAGACACCTGCTGCCACTCTAATCAGCTGATTTACTCAAAACACCTGCAAAGGCCTTTAAAAGGTCCCTCAGTCTTGTTTTGAAGGCACCACAATCATGGGGAAGACTTCTGACTTAACAGCTGTCCAAAAGACAATAATTGACACCTTGCACAAGGAGGGCAAGACACAAAAGGTGATTGCTAAAGAAGCTGGCTGTTCGCAGAGCTCTGTGTCCAAGCACATTAACAGACAGGCGAAGGGACGGAAAAAATGTGGTAGAAAAAAGTGTACAAGCTCTAGGGATAACCGCACCCTGCAGAGAATTGTGACGACAAACCCATTCAAAAATGTGGGGGAGATCCACAAAGAGTGGACTGCAGCTGGAGTCAGCGCTTCAAGAACCACCACGAGGAGACTCATGAAAGACATGGGATTCAGGTGTCGCATTCCGTGTGTCAAGCCACTCTTGAACAAGAAACAGCGCAAGAAGCGTCTCGCCTGGGCCAAGGACAAAAAGGACTGGACTGATGCTGAGTGGTCCAAAGTTATGTTTTCTGATGAAAGCAAGTTCTGCATTTCCTTTGGAAATCAAGGACCCAGAGTCTGGAGGAAGAGCGGAGAAGCACAGAATCCACGTTGCATGAGGTCCAGTGTAAAGTTTCCACCGTCAGTGATGGTGTGGGGTGCCATGTCATCTGCCGGTGTTGGCCCACTCTGTTTCCTGAGGTCCAGGGTCAATGCAGCCGTCTACCAGGAAGTTTTAGAGCACTTCATGCTTCCTGCTGCTGACCAACTTTATGGGGATGCAGACTTCACCTTTCAACAGGACTTGGCACCTGCACACAGTGCCAAAACCACCAGCACCTGGTTCAAGGACCATGGTATCCCTGTCCTTGATTGGCCAGCAAACTCGCCTGACCTTAACCCCATAGAAAATCTATGGGGTATTGTGAAGCGGAGGATGCAATACGCTAGACCCAACAATGCAGAGGAGCTGAAGACGACTATCAGAGCAACCTGGGCTCTCATAACACCTGAGCAGTGCCACAGACTGATCGAGTCCATGCCACGCCGCATTACTGCAGTTATTGAGGCAAAAGGAGCCCCGACTAAGTATTGAGTGCTATACATGCACATTCTTTTCGTGTTCATTCTTTTCAGTTGGCCAACATTAGAGAAACAAACATTTTTTCATTGGCCTTTAGAATATTCTAATTTTCTGAGATACCAGATTTGATGTTTTCATTGGTTGTCACCTATAAATATCAAAATTAAACGTAATAAACATCGGAAATACATTGGTCTGTGTGCATTGCATGAATATAATGTACAAGTTTCACGTTTTGAATGGAATTACTGGAATATTTTCAACCTTTTGATGATATTCTAATTTACTGGCCAGCACCTGTATATCGTTTACATTTATACGAATACATTTCAAGGCAGTGCTTTGTAAAGATTTCAGTCTTGTTGAAGTGTTTATTGTATTGTTTATGCTTTACATGACTAAATCTAGCATGCATATTTCAACAGTTGAATATGGATAGTTGCAATTTTCTGTCTGTATTGAAATGTGTTAGAAATAATTGGGCGTATTGACAAAGGATTTAGATTGATTACTGGACATTATATGTTGCTGAATCAACCCATCGTTAGTTTAATTTGGCCCAGGATTTGGGTAGAGTAAATAAAATGCACGTGTGGTTGAATTTACCCAGATTTGTGGTTATTTTGACCCAGAATTTGGTTGGAATATTTAACTCATGTGTTGGGTTAAAACAGAGAAACCCGTCTTGCTGGGTTAAATTAATTACTGGTGCAATGTTGACCCAGCAGTGGAGTAAAAAACAGCCCAAATTGGGTCATTTTTAACCCAACAGTTTTTAGTGAGCATGAATGCAGCCAAACATGGGTTTGAGATAGGGCTGCACAATATATCGTAAATATATCGTTATCGCGATATCAGCATGCATATCGCAAAGAACAGATAAATATCGTAATGAATGGTCGGCTCAGATGTTTGCTACACATAATACATTCTGTCAATCAAATGGAGGCGTGATGTTTTTTAACAAATCAAATAGAGCTCTTCACCCATTTGGCCAATTGGGTGGGTTCTCATAGGCCAGATGCCCGCCCCTGAGGCGGACAGCATCTAATTTTGATGGTTAGCAAACACCTGAGTTAGCTTTGTTAGCTCTTTCTGCTGATTCTGCTTTTTTCTTTCTTTCTTTCTTTCTTTCTTTCTTTCTTTCTTTCTTTCTTTCTTTCTTTCTGGTTCTGTGCTGGGGCCTCTGCTCTTCCTCCTCTATCTGCTTCCTCTTCAGCACATCCTGAGCTCGTTCAAAGGAATCTCCTACCATCTTTATGCAGCTGACATCCGACTGTACATCTCCTTTAAGCCCCATGAGATGTCTAAGCTGCAGCTGTTACACACCTGCTTAGACTCTATCAAAACCTGGATGGTGGGAGCTTTCTTCAGCTGAATGAAGATAAGACTGAGATCCTCATCTGTGCCCCAGAAAAGCTGGTTCCCAAAGTCAGAGACTCTCTTGGTCAGCTTGCTTCTCACACCAAACCTTCTGTCAGGAATCTTGGTGTGACCTTTGACCCAGCTCTCACCCTGGATTCTCATGTCAGTTCTCTTGTTCGCTCTTCCTTCTTCCATCTCAGGAACATTGCTAAGCTGAGTCCCATTCTGTCTCGCTCTGAACTTGAGACAGTTCTCCACACCTTCATCTCCTCACGCTTAGACTACTGTAACTCTCTTTTCACGTGTCTGAGCAGAACCTCCCTGAACCGTCTACAGGTGGTTCAGAACGCCTGTGCTCGGCTTCTGACCAAGTCCTCCAAACACACCCACATCAGCCCACTTCTCCTCCAGCTTCACTGGCTGCCAGTCAACTTCAGGGTTCATTTCAAGATCCTGGTTCTGGTCTATAGGGCCTTACATGGACAAGCACCATCTTACATTGGTGATCTTCTTAGTCCCTACACCCCCAGCAGGTCCCTGAGGTCCAGTGATCAAAGCCTACTGGTTGTGCAGCACCAGGCTAAAGGTCAAAGGTGACAGATCATCTGCTGCTGTGGCCCCCAGACTCTGGACCTCTCTCCCCCTGAGCCTGAGATCAGTGGACTCAGTGGTCTCCTTTAAAAAGCAGCTGAAGACTCACTTGTTCAAGCTGGCTTTTGTATGACCTTCTTCACCTCTCTCTCTTTATTCTGCTCTCCCCACCTATTCCACCTTCCTCAGGATCCACTGATTTCCCTCCTTCCTGTTCACTCTCTCTCTTTCTTAACATTTTTTAATCACAATTGCCCATTTTTTGCTAATTTTAAATATATTTTTAACCATTTTCTAAATTCTTTTTTACATTTTTTGTTTTTGTGAAGCGCCTCGTGATTTTTATCTTGAGAGGCGCTATAGACGTCTTCTTCTTCTTCTTCTTCTTCTTCTTCTTCTTCTTCTTCTTCTTCTTCTTCTTTTGCTTTTCTCATTTTAATGATTTTTTAAAATTTCTTTCTTTTTGATTATTTTTGTTCCCGAGTTAAGTTTTTATTTATCGCAAGAAATATCGTCATCGCAACATTTCTCACTGTTATCGAATATCGCAGGTTTTCCTAATATCGTGCAGCTCTAGTTTGAGGATACTTCTCATGAGGAAACAACATCATGATGAAAAGCTCCTAAAACCTGGTAGAACGGTTCTAACCGGTGCCGGTTACAACAACGCTGACTTATCAAAACGATATTCAGGGAAAATATTTAAATCGGAAGAAACCCCATCACAGGGACACCTAATGTTTTTGTGCCTTTTTATGAGATTTTACAACAAAGAAGAGCTTTCTGTTGTTCTTTTGGTGATTAAAAAAAACGGAGACATAAAAAATCAACTGAAGAAGAAAAAGAGACAAATCTGAGAAAAACAGCCATGAGATTGAGTCTTACTAATATATGGAGTGAAGAGATTAGCGAGCAGCTTATAATGTCAAGGCCGAGTCAATAGGAGCCATTCACCAGGCGGCAGCATAATGGACTCCCACAATGCAACAGGAATTAGACACACAGTTAGCTGAACAGCTGGTCGCACACCCCTCAGTGTGTGTGTGTGTGTGTGTGTGTGTGTGTGTGTGTGTGTGTGTGTGTGTGTGTGAGGAAGTGATGGGTGGACGAACAGCCAGAGCTGCACAATTCATCTCCTCTGAATACACATCACATCCTCCGAGCCCGTAATTAATACTGGTAATATATCGGCGATACATCAGCGAGCCTGAAAAGTTTAATTTCATCTGGAGCGGCGGCTGTAATTGGAAACAGTCACCATGTTGATGTAATGCAGCAGAAACACTGAAGCTAATTGTGCGCAGGTCCACCGAGGTTAATAACAGAAATTAAGAGCATGTAATGAAATAATCTGGATTATCATTAGAGTCACATACGGAGTTCAAACATCTGTTCCAGGGCTGGAGCATCAGTCAGTCAGCCCAAAATACCACAATAAAATATAAAAATAAGAACGATGGCATCTGGACTGTTACAGTAACACTAAATAGTTTCTAAACTTTAAGCTAGAGCTTTAACGTTGAACTCTTGACCGGTTTCATATCTGACACCACTCTGCCGCTCTACACTGGCCAGAGACCACACTTAACAGTTGTGTGGAGTGGATAGGTGTTCTATAGGAGGAGCTCTTTACCCGCTTTACGGCTGTTAGCTGTTACACTAGCAGTTAGCATTTTCTGTTTGCCGATCATCAACAAAAAGCACACGAAGAAAAAAAAGAGGAAGTTTGCTCTTTCTGTTGGCATCATGGCGGAGCCTGAAAGTAAAGGTCAGAGAGTAACGTCTATGGAGGTGAAGCAAAGAGCTAAACCCACAGTGAACATTGGCATGGCCTACACTAGCTAGAGGGAGCTAAAGTAGGCTACAAAATGACAAACTGATGGTGACCTGGCTTTGTTACAACAGACTTGTAAGTAATAATATTTGTGTCCAACAATGTGGCTCTTTTTACTTCATGGTTTTACTTATTGGTATATTAGTTGGCTCGTGCTAGTGTTAGCTCGTTGATAGCGCTAGCTACAGCAGTCGGCAGCAGGGTTGTTTACCATCAACCCGTAGGATGGAGGAGCAGGAAGCTGCTCGGTATTACTTTAAATACAAAATAAAGAAAACTTAATTACAGGTAGCATTAACTAATATTTAATTACTAACAATTATTTATCAGTGTTTTATAGTTTTCATGTGTCACTGTGGGTCATCAATGGTCTGATCAGTCTTCACAGCAAGACAAGACTAATCGATCCCAGAAACGAGATGCAGTTACTCTGGCTCGTAAAAAACTGTGTTTTTATGAGTTATTTTTGTTTCTACTGATTCTTTATTCCTTAAAATATTTTATCCATTCATTCAACGTCTCATTGGTTTAAAAAATACACAAAAGACCAAAGAAATGGATTCGACTAAATCTGGATCAGTCCCGCCCAGTAATGTTATAAAAGATTAACAAATTTAATAAATTCATTAAAAAGAAAATAATGGGGAAAACATATATCTAAATAAATTCTACATATTTATATATTGTAATTAAAAATGTTTGTATCTGATGCTTTTATTTTATTATCTTAATAGTTTTTGTTGGTTCTACGTACAGAACTTTAGTCTAACGCAGCTTTACTTAAACGTGTTTTATACGTAAAACTAATCTGATTTGTGTAATTTGTGTTTTTCCAGTTTGTTTCAATCTGAATGATTTGAATATCTAATCCACCGGACTAGATTAGACAGCTTCCCTGAGCTGGACGGTGGATTTGGACCGAGGTGTCTCTGAGCTCCGCGAGGAGCCAAACGAAGGCTTCGGTTGGTGTGACCGCGGCAACGTGACTGCATTCACAGCCGATACCACGCTGACATTATCTGGTCAATACAGAGTCACACACACACACACACACACACACACACACACACACGCTCACACACACACACACACACACACACGCTCACACACACACACACACACACACACACACACACACAGTCAGGACTGCAGGTATTGATTTTTGAATGTGAGGGAGGAGTGAACAACTTGGGTCACATGACGGGGGGGGGGGGTCACCGCTGGAAGGAGCCATGACTGTGTGTGTGTGTGTGTGTGTGTGTGTGTGTGTGTGTGTGTGTGTGTGTGCACGGTTGGCTGACTGTTTAGAGTCCGGCTGGCTTGCTGATTGGTTTTCCCGGCCGGGTGCAGATGGGCTAACTGGCAGGCTGAAACTCTGATTTATTGGATGGTTTCTGAACCGACCGGCTGCAGAAATTACACAATAAACGACCGAGATGCTGCCGTCTCTTTGGATGGAAACAAGCCACAAGCTAAAAGAAACACCGTTATTAAAGCAGGTGTTTAATTTGTATTACCCACATCAGTCAGTTTTTTATTCAACGAAAGCCTAAATCTCACCAGTCGCGTCTAAGAGGGGCACCTTCAGAGGGGCTTGGTGATGAAGAAGCGATGAAATGAGGGTAAACTGCAGCTTAACTCAGGATGCAGCTCAGATTAAATCAGCAAGACTTTTTGGTGATGTAATGAAAATCTGATCATTTGTTTGTGATGAAACTCATCAGGTCAGCGGGAACCAAACGTAGTTATTGGCCTTAATGATCATCATCGGGCCTAGAAAAGCAGAAATGTCGTCTGTTTTCTCCGGAGCATACAAGTGTGTGTTAACAAGCGGATGAAAGATGTCAGTGATGACCTCAGAGAAACAGCCGTCGTGTCCCGTCAATCCTAAAAGGGTCAAAGGTCATTTCCAAACTATTTAACTTCATCCTTCTACAAAGAGAAATATTATTTACAGGTTGAAAACATCAAAAATGGCTGAAGATTTTCCAAGAGCGGATGTCTTAGAAACTTCCCTCCAAGTTCAAAGGTTAATGCTCAGAGAAATGTGTGCTAATTCATAGGCTGCCTCCTTCCAAGGCCGCATTTTAAGGCCGGCTGCATCACAGCGAAGTGAAAAGGCGGTTCTAATTCAAACGAATATCAAAATGAAAGATGGCTTCTTAGTTGGCTCAAAGTCCGAACAAACTTTTCAGTTCAGTAATGTAGCGTAACAATAATTAAGGTCGTGTTCACCGGACCGGGTCGTGTTCTGGTACCTTCTTATTCACAGAAACACACAAGTTTCTGAGGAAAAGAGAAATCACTTCAGGATTGTTGGGAAAACTCAGACGGACACGGATCAATACGGATCAGCACCGCTGGACTTTTTTTTACTTTAAGAAGTGACCTGCAGTTTTCTGATCACTGCTTTCTGCTGCTGAACCATCCTGTCGGGTTCTCGAGCGACAACAACACATACCAGTGCTCATCTCCGCATGGCGCGCGCTCTTCCAAACATGCGTTTACCTCTGCGAAACAAACGTCGTTTCTCCAGATCGCAGCCAATAAGCAGGACGTAAAAAGGTGTCTTTATCCCCGTAAGATGAGCACACGACACCTCATCGAACACGAGGAATAAAAAGATGCTTTTATCTTCTGAGGAGATGTTTAAAAGTCCTGAGAGAAGAAAACGAAAACTTCTAAAATGTTTAGGGTTGGCGTTTAGAAACAGTGAAGAGTTTAAAGTTTGATGAATTTATCAGTTATTTTGTTTAAAATCTTGACCGGAAAAGGGTGGCTTGCCAACTCCGGGTCGGGGGAGAGGTCCTACCTCAAGTGGAGCAGTTTAAGTATCTCGGGGTCTTGTTCACGAGTGAGGGTAGGAGGGATCGGGAGATCGACAGGCGGATCGGTTCGGCGTCTGCAGTGATGCGGACGCTGAGCCGATCTGTCGTGGTGAAGAGGGAGCTGAGCCAGAAAGCCAGGTTCTCGATTTACCGGTCGATCTACGTCCCAATCCTCACCTATGGTCATGAGCTTTGGGTAATGACCGAAAGAACGAGATCGCGGATACAAGCGGCCGAAATGAGTTTCCTCCGTAGGGTGGCCGGGCTCAGCCTTAGAGATAGGGTGAGGAGCTCGGACATTCGGGAGGGACTCGGAGTAGAACCGCTGCTCCTCCGGATCGAAAGGAGTCAGCTGAGGTGGTTTGGGCATCTGGTCAGGATGCCTCCTGGACGCCTCCCTGGGGAGGTGTTTTGGGCATGTCCTGCTGGCAGGAGGCCCCCGGGTCAACCCAGGACACGTTGGAGAGGTTACATCTCCAATCTGGTCCGGGAACGCCTTGGGGTCCTGCCGGAGGAGCTGGTGGAGGTGGCCGGGGAGAGGACGGTCTGGAGCTCCCTAGTTGGGATGCTGCCCCCGCGACCCGGACCCGGATAAGCGGAGGAAGACGACGACGGTTTTGTTTAAAATGCAACAATGTCCACATTCACATGATGAATGTTTTGGTTAAAATAAGGTGAGGAAGCTCCGCCCCTTCTGGGGCTCTGACGTTCTGGCAGATTCAGTAGCGGGTTACAGGAAGTTGGACTCGCCATGACTGAACTGGTGATCTGATTTCTTTGCTGGTTTTCACACAATCACAGGTTATGAAAACATGAGGCGTGTTTCCACTGTTGGAACTTTCATTTTACCGGAACGCCCCGGAATGCCTCCACTTCCCTGGGCCGGCCAAACAAGATGTTTCCCAGGTCTGACACAGCTGATATGTTCTAGTGAGAAATCGCTCCTGTAGACACTACGGAAGGCTGGGAGATGTTTCAGCTGTTGGATTAAGGCGTTAGAAAGACGAACGCACAGCGAGGAGTTTTACTTTCAATTCCACAAACGGACACTAGAGGGTAGGGCTGAGCGATATGGACCAAAACTTATATCTCGATACCCCCCCCACCCGCACACACACACACACACAGCTATTTACTCTGGATTAGTATAATTCGGATTATTATTAATGATTCATCCTGATGAGAGAAAAACACAGGCAGGAGTGTGATGTCAGAACAGGACAGACATCGCGGCATCTTCGTCCAATCAGATTGCAACTGGCTTTCATAACTGTACGTGTGTGTGTGTGTGTGTGCGTGTGTGTGTGTGTGTGTTATCAGACACCTAAACAACCAATCAGCCCGACACAATGATTGTACAGTTTCAGACTCACTTCACCAGCTGTTTCTCTGCGTCGGCGCACAACTCCAGCAGCCCCATGAGCACCGCAGACACGTCCATGTACGGCTCCCAGACGGTGAAGCCTCGACCAATCAGATCGATGGCGGTGCGGCGGATGGTGCTGTGGGCCGGGAGCTTGGGGCTGGGGGGCTGCAGCAGCAGGAAGGTCAGGGCCTTACCTGCAGACAGAACCATTCCTTATACAACACGTTCACCCAGGAGCGCTGCTCTGGCTAATGTTAGTGGAAAACGAGAGATAACAGAACAACTTCATCATTTTATTCTGATAAAACTTCTCATGAAAGAAACATTTCACACGGTTTTATTTCATGGAAATAAAATAATGTGTTGCTGAAGAGAAATAATAAAAATAATAAAGCTGGTTTAGCCCTGGAGACGCAGGATGGGGGTGGGGTCACTTCATAGCTGACCTGACATTTGAGCCAGTCTCTGGAGAGGGGCTGACCATCACTCACACACACACACACACACCAGACGCACACATACACACACGCACACACACAAGCTCACACATACATACACACACACACACACACACACACACACACGCCCACACACACACAAGCTCACACATACATACACACACACACACACACACACACACACACACACATACGCACACACACACACACACATACGCACACACACAAGCTCACACACACACACACACACAAGCTCACACACACACACGCACAAGCTCACACACACACACACACACACACACGCACACACACACACACTTGTTTCTCTTGTTGCAGCTTTTACAAAAATCTTGAAAACTAAGCAGAGAAACCATCTTAAACTGATATTCTGTTTATTTTTAAGACTAAAACTCTTCAGAAACGTGCTTTCAGACACGCAGGGGTTTATTTTAGGTTTGATCTTGAGGTGACTCTAAAGGTCTCTACCTCTCCAGAGATGCTCAGCTAATCACATCTTCTGGATCTACAGGCATTTCATCATCAGACTACCTTAAATGACACCCCTCCCCCTCCCCCTCCCCCCTGATAGGTTTAATATCTGAACACACCGCTTATGCACATAAATATGAAGGACACAGCTATAGGCTAACCCAGTTAGCTTCATCAGGTCAGTGGGACCATTAAACACAGACAGGGTGCGAACCGTGTTAAAACATCTGTGTCTGTGTGTGTGTGTGTGTGTGGGGGGGGGGGGGGGTTATTTAGATCATGTAGCTTCAGCTACAATCAACTATTGAGAAGAGGATAGTAGAAATCAGCTGATGAGAGTGAGCAGTGACTAAACTGCGACCAGTAAATTAGCACATGCTACGCTACGAAATATTCATTTTTCCTTCTTTATATTAGATTTTAGGACAAATCTGTTCACTGCTAGCAACCCCAAATGGGCCAGAACCAATAACAGGGTCAGATTTAAAGCCCCGCCCTCGTAATTAGTGAGCAGGAAGTGAGCGATCCATTTAAAGGCAGACATTCCCCCAAAACGAGCCAACAGCCGCTGGCAAAACATCACTTGGCCGTAATGAGGTGTTAGTTGGGGCAGTAAACACGTCCCATTAACAGACAGCAGCTGATTGGGGGGGGGGGGGGGGGGGGGGGGGCAGTGTGAAATAGTGACAGATTAGCGATGTCTAGAATCTACCGGGCCGTAGTGAGCCGCTAACAGGCTTTGTGCTTTCTTTCCCCAGCTGGCCCCGGTCTCTTTATCTGCCTGTGTTTGAGCATAAATGAGAGGTGAAGGTAAATCAATGTGGGGACTCGGTTAGTGGATGAGAGCCGGATTAGACGGGCTGCAGGGAAAAGGGATGAAAATACACAATACCAGGAGGGAAGGAGCTGCTGTGTAAAAACCTGTTAATAATTAATGCTGATTAATCACCGCAGTCAATTAGACAAAGTCACAAACTGCAGTTTCTACATCCAGACTCTTTAAATCAAAGAGGACGTTTCATTTGTGTTCGACAGTTTCAAAAACTCGTATTGTTGTTACTTTCTCATTATTATTGCTATTATTTACCGTTATCATTAGTGTTGCTGGTGTTTTTATTGTATTATTAATACTCCTGCAGGGTTTGGGGTGATATTTGACTGCTAGATTGATGATGAAATAGATCGTCACGACCGTCTCCAGTAAAACTCCTGCTGAACCGAGGTTTTACAGGAGTTATTTCACTCTAAACACATCATTGTAGTTCAGTTTTTTCTTTTTAGTCTGAAAATAATTTAGCTATTTTTATTTCTGCTTCTTACTGAAATCACATTTATGAGAAATAAACTGTTTTATGAAACAAAGTTTAAAAAAACCACTCAGATGATTAAATACAGGAGGTTTTAAATTCATCACCAGAGTTTTATTCATCAGGTGAAACCCACTTCTTTAAATCCAGAGATTAACACCAGGGTTGTTCTGTATTTCAGTCTCAGATAATCTGAGCTAATCTGAGCTAATCTCAGGTCACACAGAAAGTCCGTTCCTGTGGGTCCGGGATCAAATATCAGCACTCGCTCCAAGCGCATTGATGATTTAAGTAGAGATGTGAAAATAAAATTTGTCGGATTTCGTCTCCCCGGCTTCCCTCTTGGCTTTTCTATGAAACGAAGCAAAACTCAATTTCCAATTAGCTTTCATGAATGTTTGAAAATGCCACGGCTGATAGCGAACGGGCCTCCGACGGGAACCGAGGGTTTGTGACATTTAACCGAGTCCAGAGGCTGAACACTGATGTGTCCCTTATCCAGCCTTCCTGCTGTCATCCTCCGTTCATCCCGCTTTCCTTCCATTCCTACCCCCATCCCGCGTGGAAACATCAATCTCTGCTCTGCTGTATGGGCTACTGTACCTCCCTCTCACCGCGGGGACAGCTCTCATTCATCACACGCCGCGCTGCATGCCAACAACACCGATCCATCTTTCAATTTCATAAAAGACGCAGAAAAACAGGAACCTGAGCGAGAGCAGGCAACCAAACGGAAGGGAGGACGAGGTGTAAGAGACAACGGTAACAGAGAAGAGACAAGTCATGACTTCTATCATCGGCCACTCGTCCTGGGTTAGCATAGCTCCAGGCTCACCTAATCCGACTTTAAATGACCAAGTTACAGTTTTATTACACGCCTGTTCAGCACCGGGTCAAACTCAAGGTCTCATTCACTCGTTTTAATAAAGTAGCTGTGGTCTCTAGTAGAAATGTGGAAATAAAAGCCTTGTGAGTCGTTTTCTGAGAGAAAAAAAAGCTCCAGTTTCGGGTATTGGGTTTGTCAAAGGAGAAGAGTCTTACTAATGAACTCATTCACCGCCACTGACCACTAAAGTAGTCACTTGCATTTTTTTACTGCGTGGGCGTCGGACGAGCCCCCGCTCCGTGAGAACAAACATCTCAGCTCTAAAGCCGATCTTCATCCGCATTCGTCACATGTCACGTGATCAGGAAGCAGAACATCCATGTGTTAGGAGATCGTTTTGGGCCGCTGCTGTAAAAAAAGTGAGGCGCGAACCGGAAAAGCTTCTGCCGATCACAATTCAACAACGGATTATGAAAGAACGGATAACGCTCGAAACGCGCGGATTCTTCCTGATGTAAGAGGTGAGTCTCAGCTTTGTTTTGGTTGTTTTGGCGTCGACATCATCCTAGCGCGCAACGTTCTGTCACTCTTAAAAAAACAGTAAAAACGGTGAGAAATGCAGGCAGCGAATGGCTTTAGCGATCAGGAAACGGCTGGCAGCGAATGAGTTAAGACATGACTTACTCATGAATATTCATGACATCTCACCTCTGATTGGTTAACAGCAACACGACTCTTCCGTTGCCTCCATTCGCTCTTGTGGGATAAAAAATGCATCGTTGATGTTTTATTTCACTAACACAAGCCCCAACGTGTTCCACCATGTTGTGGAGTTGCTAATGCTAACAGTTGGCTTCTACTAGCTGACACACGCTCTTCTATTTCCATCCCATGGGTAATCCTGAACCAAGGTGGGCGGAGCCATGAATGCCAATTCAGTAGCGGTTTTAGGCACGGGCAGACAGGGCAGTTGCCCGGGGCGGCATTTTTTCATGACACAAAAGGGGCGCACAAGCGCGGAGTAAAAAAAAAAAAGGAAATCTGCGCCGCACCGAGGTTTTCTATTATCTGTCTTATGACAGTGTCTGGATTGGAAACAGCAAGTTGGCGCCCCCTGAAGTTGCAGGCGCTCCTGCTGACTGAGAACGTTCACGTGCTCCGTGTGTCTATGAAGAACAGGAAGGGGAGGGGTGCGGCGGGGGAATTCACCTCTGCGTCTTTCCCAAATGAATGAGCGTGCAGGGGCTGAATCAACTGTATTAACATGGCTAAAGTCAATCACATCTTAACGTTCTTCCATATTTCATTCATAATATCATAAACACAGGCCTATAATTCTTTCAGGTTTCTCTGAATTGTGTGAAATGGCCGAATAAAAAAAGGAAAAACAAAACGATTTTGTGGTCACCCCCCCATCAAGGTCAAATTGTTTAGTCCTGACTAAAGGAAACTTACTGAGTCAGGAGACAAACAGAAGAGATGAACATAAAAAGGCTAAAACCACCAGGTGCCCGATTCAGGGGAAAAAAAAAGAAAAAAGAGCAGAAAGATAAAGGTATGTAGCTCTCATGATGCATGTTTTCAATTTTTTGAACCAGTTAACTGGGATTTTAACGGTTAAATGCGGTCAACTAATTGCTAACAGAGCTAATAGGGCTGAAATATTTAAACGAATATTCAAATGGTTTGAAAAAAGTCCTCGAATCGTTTTTTACTGATTCAAACTAGGATTTGTTAAATGCTCACTGCAGCCCGTGGCCTGCCTGAACAACAACAAACACATGTTGATCATGTTCACATAATAATAAATAAAACAACTCTACAAGCAGAAGAAAACTTCCCAGTCACCACTAACTATCCTGTTTATTTATTGCAGATGGCTGCACTGATTATTTTTTACATGATTTGTTCTGTAAAAGTTGGCATTTTTGGTAGTCTACAGTTTTTTATGTCAGTTTAAATTACAATTTCAGAGGCAATTCTAAAATATTATGGATCATGATAAAGATCTATTGGAGATCTACCCCAACTTTTGGACTGCTCTGTCAGTCACTGTGGCTCAAGCTGAGAGGAGCTTTTCAAAACTTGATCAAGTCATACCTGAGGTCATCTATGTTTCAGGGGCGGCTCACTAACCTGGCTCTGATTAGTATCAATCACTCAGTAGGGGAGCAGATTTCATGTGATGACATTATTGATGACGTTGCATCAAGGTTAGGTTTTAATTTTAGTTTGTGTTTTCTATTCTAAGTGCAATGCTGTAGTGATTATCTTTAGTTTGTTACGTGTGAAATATTTTTGCTATTTAGAATATTTATTATCTATTATGTTCATATATTCTTAATATTTAGTTATTGTTTGTTTTTGTATATTTGATTCTATATATTTTGATACAGTATATAATGTATAGTGCTTTACATTCTGACAACTTCATAGTAATTAATGTAAATATGTGCAACTTAGAAAAATGAATGTTCAATAGTCGTTCTAATAAAACATGCCTGTTTGTAGAAAACATGCGTGTGTTCATGCAGGTGGGGTGGTGTGGTGGTGGTGGTGGTGGGGGGGGGGGGGGTTGGGGGGGGGGGGCGCTCAAAGGGGGCCTCGCCCGGGGAGTAATTCGATGTAGAACCGCCACTGTGCCAATTGTCCCTGTGGCGTCGAAGGGGCTGGCTTTTTCTGACCGATCGTTTTCTCATCTACTTCCTTTCTGTGGCTAATGGGGGTCAGAGATCCATGTCATGGTTAACTCTTTCGCTGCCAGCGTTTCTCGCCGTTTTTACTGTTTTTTTAAGAGTCACAGAACGTTCCGCACTAGGATGATGTCGACACCAAAATAACCAAAACAGAGCGGAGACTCACCTCTTACATCAGGAAGAATCCGCGCGTTTCGAGCGTTATCCGTTCTTTCATAATCCGTTGTTGAATTGTGATCGGCAGAAGCTTTTCCGGTTCGCGCCTCACTTTTTTTACAGCAGCGGCCCAAAACGATCTCCTAACACATGGATGTTCTGCTTCCTGATTAAGTGACATGTGACGTATGCGGATGAAGCTCGGCTTTAGAGCTGAGACGTTTTGTTTCACGGTGCGGGGGTTAGTTTGGTCACGGTTAAGGTCGTGTCTCAGTCGTTTATCTGTCCAGTACAGAGAGTTTGTTCTTTACACAATCAGACTAGACGCAGCAACACCCATGATTTTCACATCTTCTTCATTTAGGATGAGATTCGTGACGTACACGATTCTCGACACATTTCCCTGTACTGATCCAATAGAGATGTACCATGTCACCAAACGGGGAGGGCCAAGCTGAGGATAAAAACTAGTGCCTTGGAGGATTTGAGTCCTTTCGGACTGATGACCATGAGGGGTGGCTCCAGGGGACACATTGTCTTGTTTGTACTGTTTTCTAGGCTTTTACTATATGAGCCACTTTAAAACCACCCTACTGAATAATGTTCATTTTTGAAAGTGCGTCAGGAACTGAGAGTTACCGGACTTCCTCCCCCGGAAGTAAAGAACCAGGCCTGCAAGCTGGAGATGATCCAAACAAGAAAGGAGCTTTCTAGAGACCTCAACACTGACATGGTAGAACACAAACACACAGCCCTGCTGAGATTTGGTTCAGGCCAAATCTTCCAGAACCATCTCCAACCTCCTGCCCTCTGGTGGAGGATCTAAAGGTGGCAAGGGCCAATTTTATTCTTTTACTACGGTTATAAAATTACTTAGTAAAATAAAACAGATTCAATTGTTATCTTAACATTAAATAGTGGACCGTCAACCAAAAAGAAAATAAATGGATTATAGCCCCCTTGTGGCTTGTTCCCGCCTATATTTCAAGCCCCGCCCCCTCTATTTGAAAAAAATTTGTTGACTAGTTGGTTGATCTTTTTTCCTGCTGTGTTTCTTTAGCTGTAATCAGTGGCCTTATGCCTAAAAACACCAGATCTGTGTTCAGGTGAGAAGGTGGGGTTTCCAGCCCCATATCTGGAATGCTGAGACCCTGGTTCCAGAAGCAAAACATGGTCGCTCCAGTAAGAATAAGATCTTAGCATCATTTTCAACAGCAGACATAGAAAGAGATCCTAATGCTTTGGGATTAGTTGAGCCTGTTTGTGTTTAGATTCATTCCAAATGTCCCAGATTCATATCTATGGTTTCAGGATTTTCTTTCATTTTTAATTATTACGGACAAAAATGAAGCTCCTTCAGGACCGTTCGTGTTTTTAAATTCCCTATGTAGATTCAAAATTTAATCCCTGAGCATCTCGATGTTCTGAGCGTGTGTTTGTGAGTCCACACAGGTGAGCCGACTGCTGTGTTCAGGTCCAACTAGGAGGCATCACGCTCCACAGCCCATCAGTGGGAGCTCAGGTTCTGTCGCTGGGCGGACGCCCCCCGGAGGCAGCCAATCAGAGCTTGGGAGCAGCAGAACGGAAGAGCAGGCCTGCTTAGTGCAGGTTTGATGCCCACCAAGGTCCGACTGGGCTCAGAGCATCGGTGGAAATCAGTGTCAGGCTTGGTGGGTGAAAATCAATGTCTTCTCCCTCACCTCTAATCCAACACTGAACTTTCTACTTTCTTTACTGTGCACTTCTTAGTTCGGGTGGGGGTGGAGGGGAATAAAAAAATAAATAAACATAATCGGGGCCAAAACATGAATCACTGAATCTTCTTTGAACCACCAATGGTCCGGTGAAGCACCTCAGACTCGTATCGGATCCTCCCATCAGGCTGTAAATGAGCAGCTAGACGCCAACAAAGAGATGTTCTGATGTAAGGAAGGAACAAACAGATCCTTCCTCAGAGGAACTCATGTCTGCCACCATCGTTCAAGCCCGAGTGTAAAACTCATCTTGTGTTTATGATGGAGTTACAGCTGGTTTAGTCAGCTGTTAGTCAGGACCTCTCAGCTACTGTAGTCTTAACTGCGGTGGCGTGGTTTTGCATTTGCTAACGCTAACTAGCTGTGACAATATCTCGAAATAGATTGACTCCAAAAGCTATAGATCTGTCCACACGCCCAGAGGCAAAAACATCATCGCCCAATTTTCTCCTTTTTGCTCCAATCAAAACCAATAAAATCATTTCTTATTGCAGCTAAAATTAGCCTCCTGCTGAGTCCAGTGCTAGATCACTTATCGCAACTTTGAAAACGTTTTTTTTATTCTGTTTTTTCACCACAAGTTCCTGCAGGGTTTCCCCCAGCGCTTTATAAGCCTGGCAGCCCGCCAGGCTTTGCTTGGCCACCCGCCAGGCTAAGTGACATGCCCCGCCCCCCTCCTCAACCCTCCGCTGACACAAATGGCGCAACGAAACTAGAGCCCTCCTTCATCTGATGCTGGTGAGAAACAGCAGCGAAACGTGTGCAGCCCCCCCACCCCCGCTCTCACGGAGGAGCGCTACGGGACGGAGAGCCCCCCACCCCCCGACGGCGAATCCACCAGGCTTAACTCATTTTCTGGGGGAAACCCGGTCCTATTTTCCTAAACAGAAGTAAAACAATGCCCCACTAGAGAGCGTTTAGGGTGGGAATGACAGGATACGATACCACAATAACCATCAATTCCCCTGATTTACAGCTGATTTATCTGTAGAATAATCGTAAAAACTACGTCACAACACCTGGGAAAGGTCTGGGATGCTCAGTTGTTAACATCCAATAACTCCTTTTTCATCCAGCTCATCTTAAGATTTTTTTTATTAATACGCATCAGTGTCGATAATTGATGTATGAAAATATCGATTATTGCATCACGTGAAAACAACATGTTCTGCTTTTCTCTGTCCCACCCCTCATGAAGCAGTTCGAGATTCAGCGGACCAAAACTCTTTTCATGAGACGAATGTTTGACAAATAAAACGATAGCTGTTTGTTGTTCTACTTACACGTGTGCCTTGCCAGCGAGTAGTTAGACGAGCTTCCACTCGTTAGTCCAAAGCCTTCGGGCGCCTGTCCGCCCGCTCGGGCTCGCCCAGAGACTTTAGGGGGTTCAATCTCCGCTCCGAACTCCGCTCCAATGACTCCGAGCAGCACGATGGCCGTGGCCTGTTTCCGACGCTCCTCGTACGAGTTGGAGATCTTCTTGGCATTGGGTGGAAGGTTGGACAAACAGCCTGGAGGAAACACATGGAAGAAAACATTCCTGTTCAGGTCAACAACACTCCTGAAGCTCACAAGTTCTATCTCATAGCAGCCGTTAATGATCAGGTTTTAAAATGATGAGATTTGATGACAGGAATTTCAGAGTTCCAAGTCCCAAAAAAAGACAGATTTTGGACTCGGAAAGTCTCTCCCTGTTGGTCTGTGTCTTCGTATTCCAGCTGCTCATCTGTTCAAACACATTATGACATGTCCTGATTTATTTGGGTTTCTTAAAGATAAAACGTATTCATTATAATTGTCTGTTACTCCGTTCTCAACACAAACCACCAACAGCCAGAGAACTGGACCCTTCTCAATACCAAAGTATGCTAGGACATTCTTGTGTACTTGACAAGTACAGCAGAAAGTCTGTTCTACCGAGTACTGGGAGCACGAGGACATCATTTGGAACAGAATCGTCATGGCAACAAGCGCTGCTTTATGATATGGTTGAAAAAAATGCCCTGAAGTAAAATCAAAAGTCTAGTTTATTCCTTAAATAACAAAACACTGAAAACATTATACTTGTATAATATTTGGTCTACTCTTGATCAAAATTGATAAATACCAGCATAATCACTAATAAATGAAGGAAAAAAGTGTGTATTCTTCACACTAATGCTTTTATTTTGATAGAGGGTTAGCTAATTAGCCTTTTAAGGAATCATGAAGACACAGGAAAACACACACGGCTAACTTTACAGGTTACACGCAACAATCAATAACAAACTTTATATTTATTTATTTAGACTTAATTATTTGTAATTTAGATATAAAAACACTACAGTTATGAGATTTCTCTTTTGCCTTTTTCCGTTCGGAGAATAACGGTTTGCAACACAATGCATTATGGGATACCTTGATGGCCCAAGTTTGCAGGAGGACGCGTTGATGCATCCTCGATAGAATGGGCGGAGCCTGAACACATCTGGGAACTTTGAACAAACTTGGGTCAACGTTGATGTTACACGAAATCAGACGAGTGAGCATACTGAGAAACGACCCTGGATTCACCCAAAAAGGTACAAAAAGGCATAAGGATGACTGCTGATGGATCACAGCTCTGCTTCCATCGTCACTTCATTCTAACAAAACAGAACTGTCTCGACTAAATTATTAGGGATGTAAGAAAATATCGATATGGCAATATATCGTGATATTTTTTCCAGCAATGTTATATTGATATTCAAAAGCCGTGTATCTATTTCTTGAAATAATTACATGCTAACATTTGTGTATTTTCTTTTCGTTTTGTACAATTTAATCGCCACCCGCTAGTTGGCAGCAGTGTGCAATGGGTTTTGTTTCCACCATTGAAATGTAAAACCCTCCATCATGGTTCAGATACCTCACGTTAAACATTTTACGTATCAGTTTGGACTGTTTATTGAACATTCTTACAATAAATTCAGTAAAAAAATTGCTTGTAACGTCTGACTGAATGTATCGCAATATATCGTGATATATCGTATCGTCTCCCCTGTATCGTGATATGTATCGTATCGCCCGAATTTCAAAAATACACATCCCTGTAAATTATGATTTTTTACACATACCAAGTCCAAAAACCAGGAAAAATACATGTCACCTGTACCTTTAAGGTACCAAATCAGAATTTTACCGTTTATTTTCAAACATCTAAAGATGGTGTCAGACTGTTGAGATGTTTCAGATAAAAGAGTGTGTGGAGGAAATCTTTTCTCCTTTACCTTTTCATTTCTTTCTTTTCACACTGAAAGCAGGTAAAAAAAAGTCCCTACAGGCCTGTGAGTCTCCAGTGAGCTGATAACAACTGAGCAGGCACACTTCTATTGTCCTGTAATCATGGCACACACACACACACACACACACACACACACACACACACACACACACACACACACACACACACACACACACACACACACACACACACACACACACACACACACACACACACACACACACACGGGTCTCTTATTGTGGCCCTGAAAGCCTTTAGTCACAGTTCAAACACATTTAAACACACAGACGGCCGTGTTCACAGACTTCTGGAAGGATTTCGGACACGTGCGGCCTCCTTTGTGTGTGTGGGCGTGCCCTTCCATTGTGTTCACCACGGCGACCCCAAAATAACCTCCTTTGTGAGTGCGTGCAACAGGGTCGGCTCGACGGGGAGCTGCTCCGCTCTGTGTGTGGACCACTAATGTATGTTACACAGTAGGAGATGAGAGCCGCTGACACACTTTGGATCAAAAGCCCAATAAGGGGTCCATACAAACCCCTCAGAGGGTGTGTGTGTGTGTGTGTGTGTGTGTGTGTGTGTGTGTGTGTGTGTGTGTGTGTGTGTGTGTGTGTGTGTGTGTGTGTGTGTGTGTACAACAGGAACTTGTTTCCCTACACATCTGGTCCAACAAGACTCCTAACCATAATCCTAAATTAAAGTTGCTGGTTTGAACTCGGACCAATCAGGAAATCCAGGACATTCAAGTCTGACCAGGAAGCATAGCCTGGTATCCATCCCATACATGTGAATATATAATCTGACCACGATGCATGGGCAGATCTGAGTCATGGGGCGGGATCTTTGGTTGTCTTTCAAACCGTCTCCATATGCTATTGGACAACGAGTGATGTGATGTACTCACCACTACAGATGTTACTCAACGGGGCAGTTCTCCATGCTCTGTTGGAGAAGATGCAAATACATCCTTGTTCTAAATTAAGGAAGTGAGTGCCTCTGTCTGCTCTTGACTCAAGGAAAAGCTCAAGTCTAAATAGTATAAGGTTGATGCCAACGTCGTTTTAAACGAGCTGTCACCATCTTTGTTGTTCCACTCCATTGCATCGCCCTGCCAACTAAACCGATAGAGCGCTGCGATTGGCATAACTGAATACCGCTCAGGCCAATGGTAGACCTACTGAGGCCCCTATGGGGTGTGGCTACACCATCCAGAGCTTCAGCTCGACCGTCTAGATTTCTAGGCTACAAAAAGCAAATTCACAAATCACGCTGTAGCCTACGGAAATGGTCTGTTTTTCCATCTACAGGTCACCTCTTCAGTATCGGGTCACATGGAGACATAAGTCTTAACTGGGGCTTTAATCTGCAAGAAAGATACTGTGCTTGCCCAAGGTCCCTCGCAAGCTCACCCTTATCTAAGACTGCTTTGCTTCACAGGACAAGACGGATGAACTTTCATAATTAAATCATATGATAAACGAGATGAGTGAATAATTATATGGTTGAATGAACAATAATGGTTGAATAATAATAACAATGTTTTGATTCATCTGTGCTTAAATTACTGAGGTTGAAATGAATATTATTATGCTATGATCAGTAAAGTTAGATTTAACAAGTGAATCACTATCTACTGACAGCTCACACACTCAGACAAGGTTAAACTAATATCCTGACACATTGCTTTCTGTTCCACTAATCAGAACTCCTGTATCTGACGCGAGGTGTGTTTTCTGAAGTTTGTTGGTAAAACCTTTTTACATGTCAAATTCTGATTTGTTAGTATATCAAAATATGAGGATTGTTAAAACAGAGCTCACTTCACCGTGAGTCAGTTCTTGAGAATCCGGAGCAAAACCTCTTTAACCTAGAGCATCTTTTGACAAGCTGTCAAAAATCTGTTGCACGCTATAGCTGACCGCAAACGGTTCCTTCAAAATAAAGCGGAACCACCTTTGACTCCTTAAAGAGTCCTTTCATAGATGCAAATAACTACCTGTTGTGACCTGGAGACGTCCCGAGACTGGTTCAGTGGCACTGCGGTTACTTCTATGGACTTCGGTACCTTTGGGGTCTGCGGACTTCCTGACATTCCAGATCTACCACGGAGGTATTCGAACTGGTACGTAGACTCGACAGATTAAGTCTGATGTGGTTTTATAAACCATCACTATAGTTACAGCAGACCAAATTCACTCCCACTCAGAACTCAGTTTATTCAGATACGAAAGTTCTGATAACATCATATTCATACATCATCACACCTCACATTCCATCCACTTAGATTCATCCAGCCATCCATTTTTATCCGCTTATCCGTAGTCGGGTAGCGGGGGCAGTAGCCTAAGGTGAGAGGCCCAGACTTCCCTCTCCTCAGCCACTTGGCCAGCTCCTCCGGGGGAATCCCAAGGCGTTCCCTGGCCAGGTGAGAGACATAGTCCCTCCACCGTGTCATGGGTCTACTTTTAGGTCTCCTCCCGGTTGGACGTGCCCAGAAAACCTCACCAGGGAGGCATCCAGGAGGCATCCTGACCAGATGCCTGAGCCACCTCAACTGGCTCCTCTCGATGTGGAGGAGCAACGGGTCTACTCCGAGCCCCTCCCGAATGACCGAGCTTCTCACCCTATCTCTAAGGGAGAGCCAAGACACCCTGTGGGGAAAACTCATTTCGGCCGCTTGTATCCGCGATCTCGTTCTTTCTGTCACTACCCAAAGCTCGTGACCATAGGTGAGGGTAGGAACGTAGATCTTTCTTTCTTTCTTTATTGAACATGCATGCAAATCAATAAACAACCCACACATATGTATATGCATATATACACATACACACACATATATATATATATATATATATATATATATATATATATATATATATACACACATATATATATATATATATACACATATATACATATATACATATATATATATATATATATACATATATATATATACACACATATATATATACATATATATACACATATATACATATATACACATATAAACATATATATATATACACATATATACATATATATACACATATATACATATATATATATATACATATATACATATACACATATATACATATATATATATATACATATATATATATATATATACATATATATACATATATATACATATATACATATACACATATATACATATATATATATATACATATATATATATATATATACATATATATACATATATACATATACACATATATACAT